GATCACTTGATAGTTAACAATAATATATAAGTTATTTTGGTGAACTTCTGGTCAGCCATTAGTCCTTTATATAAAAAAATCAGAACATATTAAATCTTGAAATTTCCATCAATACAAATTATTATAACTCACAATCCAAATATAACTCAATCTCAATGTTACGTCTTGCCATTCAATTCATTTTATATATTTAACATTGAGAAAGCGTCAGCACATTATCAAATGAAACTTCAGGTTTCCATGACGGGTAATTATTATTAAACCCGGATGGCCTAATTTAACTATCACATCCAATCACTTCGCTAAATTTGAACTCTAGTTTAGTTTTCAACACTAGTGATCACTTTATTAAACTTACTATGTGCATGGCCATGAATGTGATGTGATGTTTGAACACCAACATGTGTTTCTTTATACAATTGGCAAGACAATTGACTAATTAATATTTTATCTAATAATTACTTATATATACTCTGCTGGAGTTTTGACTATAATCTTGATACATGTTAATCTTGTTGGACATTTCATACTCTTCTTGAGCCTTTTACATAATCATGGAACATATGAATTTTACTAAAAGTGATTTTATTCTAAAAATGTAATGAGATTTATCATTTCCTCAAATTTGTCAAATAGATGCTCCATTTCTTTTCCAAAAGTTCTTATATTTTAACTCTATTAGACTGCAACGCTTCAGACGTGTTTTAAGTTCATTAGTAACCGATATTGTCCTTCTAGGACAATAATTTAATTGGAGCATTTATAAAAGTATATGATCAATCATTTATATCCATCTTCAAGATGGTATCATTTAAAAATATTTAAATAATATGCATGTGGCCACTTCTATTAAGTAAATAGTTAATATTTGAGTATAAGTATATTCCAAACTGACCATCAATATATTTTATTATTTATATGCAAAAATTACTTACAATCTCCCCCTAATCCTTGCATATGGGGGTATGGAATGAATCAATCCAACAACCTTTAAAATCCTTTGGCAATGTCATGTATCAAGTAACGTGTTCCTTTTAGCAAAAACATGCTTATATAAAATTATACTTATAGAATACTTATCATGTTCCTCATACCCAATAACATTCATCTTAAAAAAAAAAAGAAACCTCTTATATTTATGGGCTTAATAAATATTACAATCATCATTAAAGACCTCAATACATTACTATAAAAATAATCCATGATGTTTATCCATGATGTTTAATCCATACTCATCATAATCACATAATTTGATCAAATTAAGACTTCTTGAGCAGTTAGCTTAGGCATATTATATAACTAAATTTTATGTTTACCAGTTAAGAAATTTTCCACAATATTTTCTCTGCCTTTTTTCTTTTATCCCACTTCACTGTCTAAATATACAAGTGCTAACAATACTCCATAACTGTGTCCTTGATTCAAGCCAAGGATTACTTGTGCATAATCAATCTACTCCTAGTTTACATATATTTCATCTAATTATCACTTGGGATTACGTACACAATATTTATCAATATCTCCTAATATGGTGAAGTATATCCTCTAATTTTGAGATATAATTAGGAAATTATATCGTAACAATACTCCATAATAAATCAAAATTAATTTAAATTTCTATAGCATTAAACATTTAAACCTATGTAAAAACACATGTCATCGACAATACGTAGTATAAGATATAAACATATACCATGAGAAAAATATTATAAATAAAGACTTAGGATCTAGTTTAGATAAATATATTTATAGTAGATTATCATGATGATGAATAATAGATAATCTTAGATTATTAATAATAAACATATCACATAAACATAACAAAATCATGTGATAAAGCTAATTAAGTTTGATAGCAATGAGCCAATGAGTAGGCATAATCACGAAATAAAAACAATAATAATAGCATAATTTGTTTGCTATACTTTATACAAAACCAAATACAAAGTAAACAATTAGAAGCAACAAAACTTATACAAGGTAAAACTGAGATTATTCTTGTAGTCAACCTAAACCAATGGAATAATTCATTCAACCAAATGCAATTCTAATACTTTGTAACATAGTTTATCACATGGATTAACAATCATTATTTTCTCAAAATCACACTTTCTTGATACTCACTCGACTTCAAAGGGAACTAAAGAAGTGATGAAGGAAAAACTCTCAGGTTTATGATAGTATAAAAGTATTCGAGTCTTCATTAAATCCTATTACATATATCTAATGTTCAAACTTTAAGAAGGGTTTAATTAACATCTTATGTATTTTATTGGAACTTATTTAAATCCAAAAAAATATAATCTACAACTATTAAAACAGTTCATAACTAATACGCTTGAACACTCTATGATGGTGGTAAACCAGATACAATTGGAAGCAACATGTATACATTAGATCATCACATAATTTGACGGAGATTGATGATGAAACCATCAGCTAATATCATTCTCCAAAATTATAGATATTTAAATAAGACAAATTAGCCGAAACAAAACAATATTAGACATATTCAAATATGACGACTTAGCTGAAACAAATCAATAGCAATATCCCATATCTAACGAGCTTCATATTTCATTCATAAAAAACAGAGCATATAAATTAATCAATCACATGACTAGTCATACCCTATAATTAATTAGTTTATTTTAAGAAAGACAATAATCTGACAAATTCAATAAAATATGGAGAAAAGAATATAGGGATACCGGTAAAGTTGCTATTAAACTCGTCTCCTTAGCCGGGTAGGGTTGACTTTGTTTTATCATATATTTTTGCTTGAGACAACACCCAATCGACGAGACAAAGATCAAGAAGGAAGTACAATATATTGCTAAACCCAAATAACTTTCTTGCATACGATGAACTGTCAATCAAATCGAAAAGCAATTATGTATATGTATATGAATCAAAAGAATTATTAATCATTTAGAGCTTTGGTGCTGATAACGTGTTGTGAAATAAGGGGGAAAGATGAGAGATTGAGAGAGAATTGATCTGTCTATATTATTCCATATATGGGGTATATATATACAGAATATAATAAGTAGGGTTTGCTTAGATAACAATAAACCCTAGATCTAGAATAATCCGGAAACTTACAAAGAGGATAATGGATATCCACACAATATTTTCATAACAATTCAGAGCAATTGTAATTCATTATTTTTAAAAGTTAAGTATTTAATTGGCTATAATGTGGATATTTAATACTTTTATAAATATTATTTTTTTGTAATTATACCGTACCTTTTTGAATATTCATGCATTAATTATTGATTGGTAATCGATCAAAGAGTAACGGTGACACAGCATCCCTAAAATCCTGGATCCGCCACTGCAAACATATTAGATATTCTTATATTAAATTTCAACAAATGAATATATCGATAAATCATTAACATCTATTAACCAATACTAAAAGCGAAATCTTCCATGACACTTGGCACAATGTCATTTCTTCTTTTCCCGCCAATTTCATTAATTCCTAAATTATTATTATATTATATTTTTTATTATATATAATTATTTCCTTATATATTATTATTATTATTATTATTATACATTATTTATTGTTTAAACACCCGAAAAGGAATAGGTCAATACGGAGCACTTCACCATGATTCTAGAATCCCAAAGATGAAACATCCAGAACTTACTCTTTCTCTTTTCTTTTTCTTCACTGATATTCTTTTCACCTCTTTTAACTTTGAAAGAAGCAATTTTTAACACTTCGAAGATATATAGGTACAATTACAAGATACTCGTTGTTAACGAGCAGAATTAAAATCATAGAACATACTATCTAAATACTATTTTCTTCACTGATATCTTTTCAAACTTCCAATATATTTTTATGCTCCACAATACTATCTAAATATAGTTGCAATTTTTCATTAAATGTCAATTTTATGCATGATTGGCAATAGATACGAGTAAAAAATTTTAATTTTACATATTTACAAAAGATCTATTCCCTATATATAAACCATATAAAATCATTGATCACAATTGATTTGGGTTTTAATTCTTATTATACTATTCAACCATTATTATTATATTATTTAACCATAATTTTCATTTATTCATGGTTGAAAATTTAGTATTCATCAAGGACATAAGTCCTACTACTGAGAATGTAACCTTGCGAGTTAGAGTCATTCGTTTATGGGCACTATCATTCTCCAATTATGCTGATATCTATTCTATTGAGATGGTGCTATTGGATGAAAAGGTATAGTAAATATTAAATTAATGATATTTCTGTTTATTAAATTCAGAAGTAATGTTTTAAGATGCACTTTATGGAATCGATACGCTGATCAATTACAAGATTATTTGTCTGAGGCGCCAAGTTGTTCAAGACAAGAATAGTAGAATAGTGGCGTTGAGTTTCGCGACCCTTTGCCTTAGGAGCATCCATGCCGTCAAGTTATCATCTTATTACGGTTTTGTAAAAATCAAGACTTGCGGGTTTTGGTTTTGACATCAATATTATTAGTACTATCTATTATATTCGTGTTTATTAAATTTTATTTAATAACAAGTACTACCATGCTATCAAGTTCCCTATTTGCAACTAAACTCTATTTAAATTATGATATTCATGAGCTGAATGAGTTTTAGAATAGGTACATGATTTTTTTTATAGATATGCATACTATTCTTGAAAGAGTAATATCCCCCAAAATATATATATTGATTACTTATACAACAAAGTATATATTGATTGTTACATTAATTTTGCAGATTTGATAAGGGTGGAAAGACTTCTTCGGAATTGGTGACTGACATAAGTAGTTATATCTCACAAAAAAATGAGAGTGACTTTTTAAACAAATCTGAAAGAAAAACAGTTGATGAGATCCGTTATACACAAGAGGCAAGTGCTTACTACTACTATTTTATTTTACAATTATGATGATTTATATGACTAAATTTTATTGTTATAAATATTATTTTATAAATATTATTTATTTATTTATATTTGTAGGTGTGTGTTTGTGTCACATTAGCTACAATTGACTTCATTGAAACTGAAAATGGATGGTTCTACCTTGCCTGTAAAAAAGATTTTAAGAAGGTTAAGGAGATAAATGTTGAAGGGCTAACAAAGTTTTTGTGTGAAAAGTGCAATACTTATGTTGAACCTGTTCCAAGATTCAAAGTCCAGATTAGGGTAGTTGATGATTCTGGAAGTGCTTCATTTGTTGTTTTGATAGTGAATTGGTGCATTTTCTAGGTAAATCTGTTTTATACCTACGAGAAAAACAAACAAAGGTATGGTAAATATTTTAATTTTTTAGTAAATTGAATTAAATTTGTGATTAATAATGCCAATTCTGATATCATGAATTTAGAATGATGCAGGATGGAGATAATATGGATTTGATTCCTAAAGATTTGAATGAACTCTTAGAAAGGAAATGTTTGTTTAAGATAAAAGTTTATGAGTATAATATTCGACAATATTGTCCCTTATTCACAGTTATGAAGATGTCCGAAGATAAAAACTTAATAAAATCACTTGGTTAGATCCCGTGCCATGCACGGTGATCTATAGTTCTAAATTAAATTAGCCCCGTGCGATGCATGACATAATAAATTTCTTTGAAATACATAAATTTTATATATGTACCTCATATGAGAAAAAAAAAATATAAAAACATAACCATAAACAAAATTATACAATACGGAGTACTCTTAAACCGAGAGTAATTATATTTGGGATCGAGATATTTTTTTATAAATCCATGATAATGTAAAAATAAATAATAGAAATAACATATTATAATAATTATCTTCAAAAAAAAAAACTCCGTATTATAATATTCAAGGTAAAAAATAAAAAGGTTTAAAAAATAAGTAAAAATAAAAATAAGAATATGATGTCAGCAATTGATTTAGGCGGGAAATTTTAATTTTTTACCACGACTTGACATCTGTACAATTTAAATAGGGGATGATGTCAGCGGTTGTTTCTTTAGTTATATTTATAGATATAGATTTATAGATTTGAGGAGTCGGACAATGCTTATAAGGTTGTTACTTAGTTTCGACTTAAGGTTTATGATGATTAATAATTAATATTCGTTTTATTATTATTATTATTATTATTATTATTATTATTATTATTATTTAGCCTTTGCACATATTGGCAATGACTGCAATAAGGTTGGCCAAGTATTAATATTATTAGGTTTTTTTTCACTCCATAGTCATCTTAAATATAAATATTATTTTATATTTTTAGCAATTTTTTTAATATCACTAATACATACATTAAAATTACAGATTTCTAGCACCATATGCAACGAGCACTCGGATGACAACTGTTCAAATAGTGGTGCCACGCCGAATCAAAAAAGGTGTTTTTAAAGATGTTAATGACATGAATGCAGATGACCAATTTACATCAACTGAGTTTTCTACTTTTCAACAACCAAATATCAGCGAAAGATTAAGGTTGAGCACGAAAAGGATGAAGATGATTCTTGAGTCTTTGTTGTATGCTCAAGTTGTTAATCTGAGATTAATAATATGTTCTTTTCTAATTTTATTTTTAGAATAATATAATGTGAGCTATTTTGCTAGACACCTTCAATAATTATGATATTGTTAAGATATATGATACCATCAATATTGGAAAATATATGTGTGATATATTTTCTGTATTGATCCTAGGAGAATAATATATTTATCTTTATTTATGTTAAAGATATTAATAAGAGAATATATCTTTAGGTTTATACAATAACCTCTTTGATGCACTAAAATTTCTCGCTCCGTCCATTTCTATTTGTCTTACTCACTTATATTTTATATAATAATAATAATAATAATAATAATAATTAACTTACATATATAACTAAGTACCACTTTAATTACATATAAAAATTAATTATGAATAGTTGAAAACATGATATTTAAATACTACACATTGAAACGCCACTTATAACAAATATCACACATTTGTAATTTTTGATTTGTACATAATAAGCCATAACAAACCGTGAAAGTTGAATAATAAAGAATTAAGGTACTCTGTAATATAATTCTAAGCACTAGCCACATCACCAACAAAATTATGCCAAACTTTTTCAATTATTAAAGATTTTCAATTACTAAAGATGAATCAAAGACAGGATGATCTAAAATGTACCCATAAATTCAAAGAATGATTATCTAACATATGCCCATAAATCTCCCGTAGTACTTATTTTTTTAAAAGTGACCCATAATCTTTTTTTTTTCTTTGGAAAGAAGTGACTCATAATCTTGATTAAAACAATTGAGTGATTCATTATTGTTATTTAACTAATAATAAATGTATCAAGTATCAACCATATCATTATTAAAATAGAAATAATGTTAAAAAGCAATATAAACTCTTAAATATTCTAATATAATTTTTATACTCCACAATACTATCTTTTTTTTAAGCAACTCCACAATACTATCTAGATATAGTTTTATTTGTATTCTATATATATTCCCTTACTGCCATCAAAATAAAAATATATTCACTTACTATAAAATATTAATTTTATTAATAAAATCACACAAAAAGGTTGTCTGATTGATAATCTAAATATACATTAGTTACATATATATTTCTCAATTTTTTTTATATATACATGTATAGTTAGATGATATCATTTTAACTCATATCAAAGATATGGATCAATACGATAAAAAAAAAAAATGCAAGGTTAAATAGATATCGAATTTTGAAGGAAAAGCAACAACGACTATCATATCATTCACAAAGGTCAGATAATCAACTAAGAAGACCACTCAGTGACATGTCAAATTGTAAGTTTTTGCTTCTATGACTTCAAATTAGTGACATTTTTTCATTTTTGTTGTAATTTAGCTGCCCTTTAAAATGGCTTATTGTACAAGCACTATGACATAGTGTAAATAAACTTAAAAATTTCTCAATTTTACACTTCAAATGATTATGAACGATCATTTGTGGGTCAATGTCAATTGGGTGCTCCGAGTGAACTAGCATCTTCCTCTAATAACACCACAATAAGCAACGTAGATTCTAGCCTATGGTTTGGTAGAAATGAAAGTTCACATCATTCACCGAAAGCCGGAAAACACATTATACAAAACGGAAGAATTTGCAATAAAAATTCTTACTGATGGTCAATAGTAATAAAAATAATATTTTAAGATAATGCATATATTCCACAATAGACAATACTATATAATATGTGTATTATACGACAAGTAACAATTAAACGTCTTATTTAATGGTAAAAAATTTAAGAAATGGTTAGATTTAGGTCCGTGCAAATTATTATTCACTTATAAAACATTATTGTTAAATTATTTTGTCCTTATAAATAAACTATATGTACCCACCACGACCTTATATATGGATCTAAAAGTTTAACTATATAAATGTTGGATAGTATTTAAAAAAAAAAAAAAAAATAAATAAAAAAACTCAATATAAAAGAACAATCTTGAGACGATATCTTTAGACTCGTTAGTTTATATATGTATTAATGTATATAATTATAAAAAATGGCTAAATATTTACTAAATTAACTTCTAATTCTCCGTAAAAAAATAATATTAACAATACCGATTATAAAAAGGTTGTCTTACATTATGACCATTATTAATCATAATAATAATAATTCAATTTTATCCGTGCATGGCACGGGTCTTACACTAGTTATGAATAAAGGTAATGAAATAAACAAATTAGTATCAGTGACAGTATTATTTTATATGGCAGACATTTCTCCCACGATCACTTATAAAACAGTTATCAATTATATAACATTCCAAACACATGTATCAACTATCCCTGACTCTAACCATTTGAGAACTCATTAACAATTTATTAATTAGCATTATTCTATATTTTCACGTAATTTGTTAATTTATGAATAATTTTTATATAAGTTATTTATGTTATATGAACCCAAAATGTCAACAATACGCTTTTAGTGATATTAGTCATCCCTTGAAAACGTATTTTTCTACTATCACAGTAAGTGTAATACCCTGTAATTCTGAGAATTATTTTTTTAATTTAAAAAGGGTATTATAGTAATTTTATATTGTTTGAATATAATAGTCAAAATAATAATTCAAATTTAGGCGTCAAAATATTGTAGTATATATGATTATTTTTATGAGTTTTTGAATTTAAGCCTTATTTAATTATATTTGGATTATATTTATTACTGTAGAATTTTATAATTTATTGCCTAATAATATTCCAAAATTTATTAAACTAAACTACATCATTTAGTATAGTGATTTATGAATTTACAAATTAATTTTCATATTTTATTTGTTTAATTTTGGACTTATAGATTAATTGCCTCTAATTATTAATTATTATCTTAAAATTTTCGAAAATTAACTATTAGTTATGGAAAAAAAAAATTCCTGATTTTTAAAGTAATTTTATCTTTTGACATTAATTTTTTATTTTTTGTTTATTATTTTGAAATATGTTAAGCTTTTTACAATATTTTTACAGTGTAAGTCAAAATTATTCATTTTCAGTTTATAAAAAATTATCATGCTTTAGATTTTTTCGATAAGATAATTATTAAATTATATCATATAAATCATTAAATATGTTCTAGAAATTAAAGCATATGTTATAATTTTTGCTCGTATGTTCTAAATTTTACTCATTTTATAATTTTTTTATTCACATGTTCAAATCTTAAATCAAATGTTTTAAATTTCATAGAGCAAACTTTCTTAATATTTACTCACATGTTCTAAATTACTAATTAGTAATTAAGAAACTTAATTACTAATTAGTAATTAAGAAACTTAATTACTAATCAGATTACTAATTTTAAATTTACTCACGTGTTTATAGCGGACCCAAATTTTGTATTTTTTTAGAAATAATTGAAAGTTTTACTTGTTTTTGGCGGACCGTTCAAAGTTTGTATTATTTTTGACGATTTTTCCTTTATTTAAAAAATAATTTTTAATATTTTTTTAACAAAATCCCACAACCAACTCTTCCCCTACCCAACCAGCCACCCCATACCCCCAACCCCGATCTCCCTGCTCCCAGCCCGGCGCCGGCCGCACCAAGACCCTCCACCCCCGGCATCGGCGCTACATCAACAACCCTCGGCCCTCCCCCTGTCTCGTCCCCTTTGAACCACAAATCCTCTTCCTCGAAACCTCCCCCCTCCCTCGCAAAAACCCATTATTAAAACCAGCAAGGTGGATCTAATCAACGGCGACTTGAGGTGGATACGGCGAAATTTGCAGCAGGATTTATGGGTAAGATCGATAGAACGAATGAGGAATTTTCGGCATCGTTTTTTTTTTATCAAGTATGAGTTATCTGATGAAATTTGATGATTTTGCAAGTAAAGGAAAGATAATTGAAGTTGATTTGTCGTTGCTATTTCGATGGTGTTACGGGTGGTGCTGGGGTTGGTGGTTGTTGAAATCGAGGAGGTAAAGGGAGGGGGTGGCCAGCAATGGGGAGGAGAAGGGGGAGGGTGGCCAAAATTGGGAAGAGGAAGGGAGCTGGTGGTCGGGGCTGGAATCGGGTAGGGGCCAGTGGTTGGGGCTGCCGAGATTTGGGTTTGAGAGATGTCGAGATGGAGGAATTGGGGAAAGAGAGAAGGTGGGGCAGGGGAGGTCGGGCTTCTCCGGTAGAGACATGGCCGCCGATAGAAGAGGGGCTGCTGGTTGCTAGGTTGGGAAGGGTGAGGGGGGAGGAGTTTGGTTTTTTTTTTTTTTTAAAAAAAAATTAATAATTTAATTATTTAAAAATTAAAAAACTAACTAGTTAAGGATTTTTATTAAAATTATACTTATCAATGGTAATAAAAAATTTAGGTTTATCATTGATAATAAATTTAAGAACGTTTATCACTTAGAAAATTAAAAAGTTGGAGTTCACCAAAGACAATTTCCCAAATTTTTAAATAGTTCTCATATAAGTAAGTATTCTCACATATGGACATATTCTCACAGGATCTCTCTCTCTCTCTCTCTCTCTCTCTCTCTCTCTCTCTCTCTCTCTCTCTCTCTCTCTCTCTCTCTCTCTCTCTCTCTCTCTCTCTCTCTCTCTCTCTCTATATATATATATATATATATATATATATATATATATATATATATATATATATATATATATATATATATATATATATATATCACACACACACTCTAATTTTGTGCCCCGTTAATGCCCAGGTTGTTTATTGAATTTGAAGATAATTTTAAATCTATATGTCAAATTTTAAAATATATCATTGATAAAAAAAAATGGCTAGGAATTGATGTGCAATTGTGACGGTTTGCTATCTAGTAGGCATGTAATGACTAATGATAATATTGTACATCTAATTTTTTTTTACTACCTCCGTTTCATATTACTTGCAACGATTTGACATAAAGTAGAGAGGAAAAATGTCTAATCGTTGCAAATAATATGTAATGGAGGTAGTAAATGTTTTACGCCTTACTTGTTTACCAATTTTGGTAAGCAGTCATGATTTTAGGTGGAGTCTATGTGTTGCATCGTTCACTAGGAGTTCGGGATTGATCACCTAATACATATATAAAGGGAGTT